GTATAATGCTCCCAAATGAGTACTTCATTGGTCACTTTCGATGCATATCATATTTGTAGATCTTCTTATATAAATTTTTTTTATTTAAAAAAACAAATGCTTATTTATGTAATACAAAATTACTTCATTTGTTCATATTTAGGTCCATGGTAGACCTCAGGTCCACCATAAAATTTGCGCTCCTGAATGCTATTTTGCTTTAAGTGATTTATGATCTATTTCTCTCTTTTCCATCACTTTCAACCCTGTATTTTTACTTTTCTTAAACTTTTATCAAGTCAAATTGTTTTACCACCTTCATTCCATCATTTATTGTATTTGTTCAATTTCAATTTTTTATGTCATATCAATTGAATTTTGATTCTTGATTAAATAAAAATTAAATGACATATTAGTAAAAATATAATTTTATTAAATTTGTGTAGCAGAGGTTTATAAAAATTGTAAATTGTGAATTATGCTAAAGTCACAAATATCTTGGTCATAAATTATACAAAGTTGATAAATTTATTTTAAATTTTTAATATTTAACTACTCCGTATTGATAATGAGAAATTTTATCTAAATAGGACTAAAGCATAATAATTTTTCCAATATAGGACCATATGTTTTTATTTCCCAATATAGGACCTTTGGTCATTATGAAGTAGTCATTATTCAAGTAAATGTCCATCATTACTGGACATTATTCCTCTCCCACTAGGTCATTATTAAGTCTTATTTTGGGAATAAAAAAGTTTAAATCCTACATTAGGAAAGTCATTATGTTTTAGTTCTATTTAGGACAAATTTCACTATTTTCCACAAGTACTATGTATGGTAAATTATTGTGATTCTAAATGTGTCAAAGATTTCCCTAAGCCGAAAGGTACCATCATGATTCATGATTATTTTACGTGAGATCGCCACTCCAGACAAGGAAACAAGGTCCGCAACTTTTAGTGGCTGGACTTTTGCACATTCCATATTCATATCACAAAAAACCGTCATACACCATATTTGTTTCTTTGCGAAAGTTGGAATTTTATAATCATAACATAAATTACTACTGAGTAAAAGAAGTTCCACAGGCTTAGTACTGGAGTGCAATCCGTGTTGCCGTTCAAAACAACCTTCTAGCCCTGTGGCCCACTTTCTCCAAAATTTGAGCAGCCCGGCCCTCTTCAAAACTAGATGCAATCCCGTCACCTTTCATTAGCGAGTATTAGTCCGTTCCTAAAAATTTATCCGGTTTTAACTTTTTTTCGATCATTATTGCCAAACGTTGATCATTAGTTAAATAAAATTGATACTAGACATAGATACAGAAATAATTTAATCAAATTAATTTTATAAATTTTCAAAATATTATTGATGGATACTAACGATGGGGGTAGTACAAACTATATAAAAATCAAGCTTGTAATATGAATTAAATAACTCAAAATCTGATCCCCTCACCCTTTGGACGGAGGCCTTATTTATACACTCAATTTTGGGCCAGTACTCCCATATTCTCAGTAAAAGAAGCTCATGGGCTCTCTTAATTACATTTGTCATATTCCTATGATATATCACTTTTCTGCCAGACCCCTTTGACCGTGCCCAAGGACGGGTCGCTCTCTGATGACGTTCTTGCCAGCCTCCTTTAACCTAGAGGATTGTCTTTCTTTTGCTGCTATCTTCGCCCAAGACGGGCTTGGTCGGTCATCTAATTCCCCTTAGTTTTTCCTTTCTAATCTTCTTTCCGCTGATTTCCTTTTTCCTTTGTAGAGATTATTCCCAGTGTCGTCTTCCGTGCTGGCCTCCAAGCTTCCCATCCCCTCCATAGGTCAAGGGGGTCTCAGGCGAAGCTCCTCTCATCCTGGACTCTGACCATGAACCGGTCCTGGTCGCTCATATGTCTTCCCCAGAGCCGCCTGTAACTGAGCGTCCAAATTCGTCTATGGCTAAGCGGTGGGAGTCACTGCCGGAGAAGCGCACCTGTGTGCTGTAGTTGGAAATACCTGAAGATGCCTCTTTCCTTAACGGAACACTTGTGGCCTCTAAGCTCCTCCCTCAATGTCTCTCTCCTGCCGAGTGGGAGATTCTAATGAACACCTCTTTGCCTGACTTGATCAACATGTGCGGTCATGTCGATGATGCGGTACGTCCCCTATGCATTTTGCCTTGGTGTAAACCAATACAAAAAAGGAGGCAATACCGACAGGGGTCAATATGTCACTAAAAGTTAAATATCTGTCGCTACTCGCTTTTACCAACAGATAATTATCTGTCGCTACGATGTCGCTAAAAACTCCGTCAGTAAAACTATTACCGACAAATAAAATATACTGTCACTAAAATAGTGTAATAGCGACACACCAAAGATGTCACTAAAAAAGAGAGGAGTACTGACAAAATATATATGTCGCTAAAATATGCATTACCAACATAAAATAGTGTGGGTAAATCCTTTTTATCTATCGGTAATACCTTACTTTTACCAACATTAACATTTATAATAACTGTCTCTAAAAGTTAAATTACCTACAAAAAATTGTGTGAGTAAAGTATTTTTTTCTTTCGGTAATAGTTATTTTGACCAACATTAACATTTATTATAACTGTTACTAATACTTGTTTCACACTAGCATGCTCTATTCAAGTGATATCAAAGAATTTCATTGACAAATAAAAAATTATACTCATACTTGTATCAACAACAATACATAATATGATAACATTTCAAAGGGTTACAACTAACCCATTAACTAGAAAGTAAACCAACATCTCAAAATTAGTTCATTATTTACGTACGTTTCAAGCTAAAGTATAAACAGTCAAAGTGAACGAAATTAAAATACGCATTGATATGGAAGATATAGTCCAAAGCTTTAATGCTCGTCACTGTCTACATCTTCAAGTTCATCACTTTCAACTTCATCATCTTTGTTCCATCGATCCTCATCATGACATTTCTCAGTGGTTGTATTACCATCAATTGTAAGGTCATTGAATTGGTTTCAGATTGATTAGTCGTTGAACCCTATGCAACAAAAAAATTATAAGCACATGATAACGTAATTGCAAATTTTGCACCAAATTTACCTTACACTCATACTAGGTTGCATAACTTTAAACTATATAATGAACTAAACAAAAATCAAATGAAATATGGATAGTTAACAATGATAAGTAGGGACTAACCAGGGTATTTAAAAGCAATGATACTACATCTTCTAAATTTTGGAGTCTCTCTTTTCTTCTTCATGCTCTTGTTCAATCTTTTTTCTTTCTCCTATTTCAAGACGCACCGTTTAGAACGAGATCGAGGAACTCTAACTCCCATACCAAAGGTCTTTGCATATCCCTTTTTTGTCTTCTCCCATACCAACTTCTACATCTTTCAAAGTATCCAACTCCTTAAAAATTAACTCCTGTAAAATTATGAACAAAATATCAATGAATAAGGGTATAATTATCTAAATAACAATGTAAAATAAAAGTTTTGCCTACTTTTATTTACCTTTCTCATAGCTGAAACATCATCAAGTTTTGAACCTTTCTTTGGCTCATGTGTCAATAGCCATGTTCCAAGCATGTCTACCTTATTTCCTTTGGCCTAAAAATCATGTTGAACTCAATTAGTTGAACACGTCTCAGGCCAACCCTTATCTGACTATCACTACAAATCTGTCAAATTAATACTTCGAACGTATTTTACAAGCATAGAAGATAAACACAAAAGAATGCTTGTTTGGAGTACCTCACCAAAAAAAATACCTCAATATACAAAGTACCCAGAAGAATACTTCTTATTAATTTTACAAATCTATCAAGTCTCCAACAGTCACACCAAAGATTCAACACAGAAGATAAACAAAGAAGAATATAACTCAAAGAAGAAAAAATCTCATTTGTTCAAATTCTCAAATGAAGAAGATAAAAAACTTAAACATAGAGAAGAGCATAGATAGGGATACATACCTTTATTACTCAAGAAACAAGAAGGGAAGAACTGAAGAAGCACTGTTTGTCTCAAGCTCGTCTCAGCGAAGAAGGCAGAATCGTTGTAGCTTCGAATTGAAGTCGTGGACCCCTCTCCGATGTGAAATCGCAAATTGAAATCCAAAGGAAAAATAACGAACTGAAATACAATCCCAATCGCCAGACACTCGACTCAAAAATCCAATCGTAGAATCCCAAATTCCACTCCAATCGCAAAACCACACATTGTTTGGTGCACACAAACAAGTAGACAAAATAATCTTTTATCACAAACTACTTAAGATTAATCCACAAACTATCCTCCAAATGAAGAATCAAAATATAATAATCATCAAATGTGTGAGTGATCTAATGGCTCAAAATTACGTACAAATAACATATACTAAGGCCGACCATTAGGGCTGGGAAATAAAGACATCACTCTACTAGTGTGACAAAAAATAAAGACATAATGTGATTTATTAACTCACAAATTTAGCAATGGAAGGTTGGCAGTGATCCCAAACCAAATCAAAGCACATTCAATTTGAAGCAACAAAAGCACACCTCGCAAACACATTCATAGCAACAAGTAGTAATGATCATCTTTGCATGAACAAGCATCAATCATCTTCAATTCCCCTTATGTACCCACCGTATACACTCTTTCCATGTAAGATGTTTAGGCAATCCTGATATACCTTAATGTCCAAAACATACTAAAAACAAACTTACCAACTATGAGAAAGCAAGATAGATAAGTCAATTATCATGGTTCAAACTACTTTAATCAAATATTAATAACATGGTTATATTAGAGAAAATAGACAGCATAATACAGATCATCTGCAATGTATTTACTTCTACGAACTTGAAGTCTAGAGTAATTACCGACAAAAAGACAGATGTATTGTGCACCGATCTTATCAGTTTTAAAGCAATAATAAGTACATCTAAAATCCTAAGCATCACCAGTTTTCAATTTCTCTGCATAGGTTATTTTCATTCATAGGTGCTGATAAAAAAAGCTAGAATAAAATTCAAGTGCACTAATATAGGAATGGTTTATTCATTTAAGAAGTATAATCTCCCATTAGAACAGAAGGATCTTCGTGCTTTGAGACCAATTAATTCCACAATTCTACACATATATTACTTGTACACAAACAATAATCCCGCGAATCAACTCTCAGAAACAAAGCACGATCCATGTAAAATAGAAAATTACAACAGATATTCATACTGGAAGGCTAAACCTCTTACAATTCATTACCAACGATCAGTCAGTGCGCTTCAGATTTGCAGAAGAAACCAAATGCCTCCAGAGATATTTGTCGCTCCTAGCCGATCGACGATGTAGGCCTACCACGGGCCCTGCTCTGTGTCCAGATGCTGATCGAAGATGCGAGCCCACCGCTGGCTGTTCTGGTCGAAGATGAAAGTCGTCGCCGGTTACTCTGTTGCATCGTCGTGCTCCGTTCGCATCTCAAATTCTGATTCCGGTCGAAGTTCTCCAGCCCTGGTCCTAGATTTCGTCACAATCCGTCTTCCGCAGTTCCCCTCTGCCCGATCTCCCTTCCTCTATAAGATTAAAATTTCTGGATATTGTAAATTGACCCCCATTTTGCTAATATGTTTGCTAATTGATCCTTTCTTTATAATTAGACTTTAAAATCAAACTATAACGTCCCGTTTGGTACATGAAATTCAAACTATGAAATTGGAATTGGGGACTTTAATTCCAATTCTTGTGTTTGGTAGCACAAAAATTATGTGGATTTGGAATTAATAGTGCAAAAAAATGAATTAGAATTGACAGAATTCAATTCTATGGAATTGAACCTCATGGAATTTCAATTCCAATTCAATTCTAATTCCACCAATTCCTTATACCAAACGGACCCTAAACACAAATTTATCCAAAATCATAATATTAACCAGTTATGTAATTTAATATAACAACAAAGTTAATAAGATCATGTTCTTTAGAACTGAAAAAAAACTATATATTGGAAGAAAATAAAAGAAACTGGATATTAGAAGAAGAAACTCAAAAAACTAGAAGAGACTGGAAAGAACTAGAAGAAATTAGAAGTAACTTAAAAAAACTGGAAAAAATTAAAAGAATGTGAAAAAACGAGAAAACAAGAATTGGAAAATATAAAAAAAACTTTATAAAAATTTTGTGTGTTTTATATTATTCTCATTCTAATTCTTGTTGTTAGAAATTATTATTATTATTATTATTATCATTATCATCATCATCATCATCATCATCATCATCATCATCATCATCATCATCATCATCATCATTCTTGTTATTGTTGTTGGTGATGCCATCACGTTATCTTAATTTATGCCTTTAAGATGAAAAAAATTATTATATTTCATACATAAAGAAAACTACTTTTGAAAAAAATTAATTAGAATATAAAATTAGCATAAATATCAAAATGTTAAATACTTAAAACTTATCATGACTGTGCTGCATTTATTATAAAATAATATATTTGCAATTATATTTTATACCATCTTCGACTCAAAAGCCATCTTCGACCTAAAATCCTGCTTTTAAGATCGTTAATTTTGCAGTTTTTTATTTTTTTGAGTCTTTTTCCCACTTGTTTACAGTTTCTTAACTATAAATGTCCTGCTTGTGAGCAATTTTATGCATACTTGATATGTGTTAGACAAAAGTGCAACTCTAGAGGGGGGGGTGAATAGAGTTGTTTTTAAGAATGTACGTTTTTCGTAAAAATTATCGCAGGAAAAATAAGGAGAGTAAGGGAAAGAAGAACACCGGGATTTATACTGGTTCACCACCTCGTGGCTAGTCCAGTCCTCCGACAGACTCTCTCGAAAGTCCTACTAATCTTCAAGCTTCAACGGGTGCTTGAAAAACCGTTACAACTTGAGAACTTGAATCACACAAGCCTCACTTTCTTACAACAACAAGACTTGAGTCACACAAGTCTTAAGAACAACACTCAAATGAGATTGAGTTTACAACACAAGAATGAAAGCTCACACAATTGAGCAAAGTAGTGTTGAAAGATTTAAGCTCTATGGATGACAACTTCTTTAGCACTCAAAAAAAAATATTTCTAACTCTCAAAATAATATTTTGATGAGAAAGATGAAGCAAAAGATGAATAGCTCAGGAAAATATGTTGGAGTGCAAGAGATGTATGGAAATGAAGGAGAATGAGGGATTAAATAGGCTGAGCAAAATAAAGCCGTTGAAGAAAGCTGATGTTCTGTACCAGAGAGAATTAATCGATTAAATTATGAATTTTAATCGATTAAAGTGTACAGAAGCGAAAAGCCAGAAACAAAGGCTGAATAATAATCGATTAAATTAAGGCAATTAATCGATTAATAGGCTCTGTCCGAACTAATCGATTAATTGCTGAGAAATAATCGATTATTGTTCAAAAATGAGCAGCCTGCTGAAAAGCTTAAAAATCGATTAAAATGGAGCAAATAATCGATTAGGAGGCTCTGTCCAAGCTAATCGATTATTTTAAGAGAAAAAATCGATTAAGAATTCAAACCTGAGAAATTGCGCTGGATCTAATCGATTATTTTAGAGTAAATAATCGATTAACATGAAAATAATGCGCAAACACAAAGGGCCCAAGCCAAGTGNGGGAGAAAAAAAAGAGAGTCCAAAAATTATTTTGTGTGTCAAACAATACACGAGAAAATATTTAAAGTATATTTTTCTCAGCAAGGAAAATTGTATAACTTTAAAAATTAATGTTTTTAAAAGAAATTTTGACACACTCATTTTGAAACTGACTCACTAAAATATTTTGGACAAAGAAAAAAAAATGATTTTTCAACTGACTCAAAAATATTTTTTATCCCTCAGAAATTAAATTGTTTTGTGCAAAAGATATTGTCACTCTTACAAGAATCCTAGACTCAATAAAAATTTAAAAGTCTTCGGAGTCTTCACATCACTTCAAAAAAATTGCGTTGGGGGACCGTTTATTTTTATCACGTAACTTTCTTGATACGTCTCTTTTCTTTTCTCGATACGAAAAGTAAATTTTCGATCATCGTTTGAATTTCATCATCCTGTTTGTCATTTATCAAAACAAAAAATATTCCAGAGAAAATAATAAAGGGGTTTGAACTCATGTCCAACAATATGACAGTTACTTCTGTTTTGGACTCTGGTTTCACGGTCAATCCCCTAAATTTTGGTTTCTGATTTGTGATTGATCGACATGTCTTTTAACTGCATTCGAAATGGTTAAGAATCTCTACCATGTTATTCTATATCAATAATATGAAAAATTCTACATATCTCCACTAGCGCTTTCATCTATCCCGTTTTTTATTTGTTGATTTGTTCTTTTATCATATGTCTTCATTCTCTTCGGTCAATTTAGTCTTTTAATTTTAACTTATAACTTAAAAATCTGAAATTAAAAATTATAATTTTTAATTTGTAAATATTCAATGTAAAAAAATTATTTTTAATATTTAAATTTTAGTTTTTTTCTCTTTTATATTTATAATTCAATTTTAATATCATATATTTTTGTGCGACCAAACAACAAAATTCAAATTAAGGTTTTTCATTTCCAATTTCATAACCTCAATGTTGTGTACTAAATGATGCCTAATTTTATGGTTTTTTACAATTAAGATATTTAAATTAAATGCCAAATTAATAGCGAGAGATAAACATTGTTGCTAAAACTATAAACAATACCGACAGATAAATTTTGTTGCTAATACTTTAAACAATACTGACAGATAATTTTTTGTTTCTAATACTATAAACAATACTGACAGATAAAGTTTTGTCGCTAAAACTATAAGCAATACCGACAGATAAAAGTTTGTTGCTACAACTCTAACCAATAGCGGCAGATATTACTCTTTCTGTGGGTCAAATAATTTTTGCCTTCAAATAATTTTATCTGTCGGTAATATTCTCTTTTTAGCGACAAATAAGGTTTTTGTCGCTAAGGATCTGTCAGTACTGTCCTCTTTCTTTGTAGTGAACCTTTTGTTTAACCATTGGCCCTTGCAAAGCTTGTCCGTGAAGTCTGAGATTGTTCGTCGGGTCAGGATGCTAGATGCCGAGGTGGACGATCTCCACACCCAACTCATGCAGTCACGCCGGTCGAGAGAGGACCTAGAGAAGCAACATGAGGCCGACAAGCTGAATTACATCAACGCCGTGGACGGGCTGAACGATCGGCTAAAGAAGACACAGCAAGACCTATTTGAAGTGAAAGAGATACTCCCTAGTGAGCTGGAGGCTGCCAAGTCCCAAGTCGCGGTCAAGTTTACTGCTTCCTTTGCCTTCCAAGAAAAAGATCTCGTTATCATGCCCGCTCTCCTCTCCGCGGGATCGGCAACACCCGAGGGGCGCCATTTCTTAAATTATGAGGGAGATACTTACTTTAATTCTCGGCTTCTCGCCATGCAGCATTTTTTGTACTGGAAAGCCTAGCAGGTCGATCCTGAATTTACCCCCTCCAAGCTTGGTTTCCCTCCCTATTACTAAAAGTCCACCGACCTAGCTGATTTCGACTTTTCTATTTTGGACAACGAGGTTACCTCTAAAGAGGTGGCGTAGTTAGAGGCGGCCAAGCCAGGCGATGAGGTCGGGCATGGTAGTGTATCCGAACGGCATGGGGAAGTCGTGCATGCCTAGGACATCGACCGTCTCAGGGCTATTGGAGAAGAGAAACTTAAAGGTGGCATCGATCATGGCACTTATGAAGACCTAGAGGACTTGTAACTTTAACGTTTGCCTATTCTTCACAGATAATGTACTATTATTATCTTTAGTCTAAAAATGTATGTGCTTATTCCTTTTCGTGACCGATTGTGGTCCCGATGCTGACCTTGCTAAATTCTCCTTTTATAGTTTAATGTCTATTGATCATTCCTATTAATTTGTCTCTTTCGCCTTTGGCCCCTACTAATCTCAGGAAAGCGTATTCCCCCCTATGCTGAGGCGGGAATCAAGTAGGAGCCTTATTGGAAAAGTTCGACCCCGTCTACTTGACTCCATTTACCGTCCCTCGACCGATCATGGGGGATGTTATCCCAATACTTAGTCCTATTGGTGACACCATTTTTCTTTTAGATTTGACGTGGTTCCTAATAACGACCGATCGGGTAGTTCTTCTTGCTATCCGTGCCCGATGCGCTTGGCTAGTCGTCCTACCTAGGGACTTCTTCACACCGCCCCTTGCCTTGTATATCGTTTCATCTGTACTAAGGAAGATAGACGGTCACTTCAATCAATCCATTCTCTCCTCGATGATCCTACCTTTTTATTATAAAATCCTACGCCTTTTCTATTCTTTTCCAGCCTCCTTGCCGAAATGCTTCCCACCCTTTCCAGCATTGGCTCACCTCCTTGCGCTTCCACTCCGCCTCCTCCACGGCGATTGCCTTCACCCCGAGAGAACCTCCGAGGACTGCTACGGAGACAGTTGCCCCACTGGCGCCTCTTGTGCTGGATCTGGTGAGACCCACACCTTCATCTTCCCCCATGGACCTCGTTATGCAGGATCTTTATGCCCACGACTGGTCCTCTGATTCATCTTTGGGCAGGTGATTTCCTTCCTCCACTATGATGATGATTCAGATCCCGAAAATGTCAAGATCAGTGGTGGTCGCCATATTTCGAATCCAGCCCGTCGGCTTTGTGGCCCTTCGGGTCTCCGTCCTCTGAGTGGGTGAAATCTGACGTCCATCCATAGAGGTCGCTTTGGTCCATGGTGGGGTCGTCCTCAGTCTCTGCGTGAGCACTGGTCATACTCGCCGCCTTTTTACCCCAATTTAGACGACTCTGATTGAAATTATTGAACTATGTTTTTATGTATCGAGATCTAATATAACATTATTTTATCCATTTAGGGCTTGTGTTATGTTCATTCCTTGTAAATGTCTCTTTTCTGTTTCTTTCTTTTTTGCGTACGGTGTTCGACCATGAATGTGGGTATATTATTACCTGGCGAGTCCCTTGTGGAACATGGTATGGGAGAAATGATGCGGCCTCGGGCTGAGCGTGGTTCCTCACTCCCCGAGCCTCAACCAAGCTAAGTTGAGTAATTTCGCTTAAAATTCCCACTTGTTTGGTTGGGCTGACGGGGTTCAACTCGTAAAAAACGTCCAAGCCCTCTGAGGTAGTTCCACCTCGTGGGATCGTAAGGGTCCATGAACGCTTAAGTTCTTGGGAATGAGGGGGTCCTGGCCTTTAGAAGACCGCACTTCCTCATTCCCCGAGCCTCAAACAATGTAAATTGAGGAATGTCCCTAACATTCCCACGCGTCTGGTAGGGCTGACGGTGTTCGGCTCTTCCTTAGGGGGATTTTTCATAGGAAAAATTAAGTCCAAGTCCCAAGAGCCACTTCCACCTCGTGAGACCCTAAGGAGACGTGAACTCTTATGTTCTTGGAAATGAGGGGGTCCTGGCCTCCGGAAGACCGTGCTCCCTCATTTGCCGAGCCTCAATCAAGCCAAATTGAGGGATGTCCTCAAACATTCCCACTCATCTAGTTGGGCTGATGGGGTTTGGATTTTCTTAAGGGGGGTTTTCATAGGAAAAATATGGCCAAGTCCCTTGAGGAAATTCAACCTCATTCAACCCTAAAGAGTCGCAAACGTTTAAGTTCTTTGGAATGAAAGGGTCTTGGCCTCCGGCAGACTGTGCTTCCTCATTTGCCGAGCCTCAACCAAGCCAAGTTGAGGAATGTACCTAACATTCCCACTCATTCGGTTGGGCTGATGGTTCGGCTCGTCCTCAGGGTGATTTTTCATAGGAAAAATACGTCCAAGTTCCCTGAGGTTGTTCCACCTTGTGAGACCCTAAGGAGTCGCGAACCCTTAAGTTCATGGGAATGAGGGGTTCCTGGCCTCTGGTCGACCATGCTTCTTCATTCATCGAGCCTCCACCATGCCAAGTTTAGGAGTGTCCCTAACATTCCAACTTATCCTATTGGGCTGACATGGTTCGGCTCGTCCTTAGGGGGATTTTTCATAGAAAAAATACGTCCAAGTCTCCTGAGGCAGTTCCACCTCGTGGGACCCTAAGAAGTTGGAATGTTTAAGTTCTTGGGAATGAGGGGGTCCTGGCCTCTGGCCGACCGTGCTTCCTCATTTGTCGAGCCTCATCCAGGCCAAGTTTAGGAATTACCATAACATTCTCACTCTTCGGATTGGGTTGATGGAGTTCGGATTGTCTTAAGGGGACTTTTCATAGGAAAAATACGTCCAAGTCTACTGAGGTAGTTTCACCTCGTTTGACATTAAGGATAGCTTGGGTCCCCTTGACCTATATGCTTCTTATAGAGCGAAATAGTCATTAATGGAGACAGTAAAAATAAGAAAGGTCTTTTGTTAAACGAGGCCCTAAATGGTTGATACAAAACATCGTTGTGCACACATTTCTTTTCCTTTCTTTGGAGGGAGAAAGGCTCGATACCTCTGGGCTACTTATTTCATGCTACGACGTCATCCGACGCATAGCGTCAGCGCTGGTTCTGAATCTGCTCTCGGCCATGGTGGGGCGGTTCATGCGACGAGGCAGCTCGTCGGTCCATCCGGCGCACTCAATCGATGTGCTGCTGCCCGAGATGTCCCAACGCTTCTTTGCTTATGTTTGCCAGCATGCTCATTCCATTTGTGCGAACTAAGAGCGGCGTGACTCTCCGACGATCTCTTAGGGGAGACCCCTCGTACCCCCAATAGTATGAGTCAAAATTCCCTCTACACGCTGATAGTCCAGAGCCAATGGTTCCCCCAAAACGTCCTAATCCACCATTCAGGTTGTTCGTCGTTAATAAACCCTCTCACCCTCGAAAAAAACGTGATGACTGTGGTGTAGATGGTGATCCCGGTGGCGTGGCCCTCTCATGGAACCTCGAAATGCCGCTAAATCCAACACTTAAATTCTTCCATCTCCCCGTCTTTCGGTAGCGTCAAGGGGGCAAAACCCGAGGGGGGGGATTGCTAGAGCCGATTTGATGACCATTCGAGCTGGCACCACCTGCACCGATGGCCATATCCTATATTTTCTAGATCCACACCCCATGTATGTATGTACTTGTAAGGGGTTGCTAAATAAACTCCAAAACTTGTTATAGCCATATCCTATATTTTCTAGATCCACATCTCTTATTATACTCCCTCCGTTCCACAAAACTCTTCCTCTTTCGTTTTTTTTTGCTTTCCACAAAACACTTCCACTTTCTATTAAAAAACCACTTTTACCCCTAATTTTTTATACCCTACCCATCACATCATACTTTTTCATTAATAACCAAACTATCACATCTTACTTTTTCCCATCACATCAGGGGCAAAATTGGAAAGTGAACCAAAATTACATTTTTCTTATTTTTCCCCAAAGTCAAAACCGGAAGTGTTTTGTGGAACGGAGGGAGTATATTATTATAAATTTATATTAGTATAGATTTAGCATATATGTGTGTGT